AGAAATTACTTAATTTTGATTTTAAAAGAAAAATTCATATCCGATCCGTATTTTTTTTAAATATATTGTATGTATCAATTTTTATAGTCAATAATGGCGATTTTTAATATATGGCCCGGCCCGGGTATTTTATTTCTATTAGAGGCGAGTTTTCAGATCCAATCTATCGATTAGTTTATATCTATTTTTAGTGAATTTCTGTTTAAAATATTATTTAATATAATACAGCATTAACTTCTTATTTTTGGTACCAGTCGTGTTTGTTAGCACAGAAAAGACTGTGTTACATGCTATCCGTTTAACTCAAAATTTTGAAAAACAATTATTGTTAATAAAACTAAACCTAAAAAGAGTTAGAAATTATATTTATATATTAATCATAAACTTTATTCTTATACTTTTATTCATTCTAATCAGTGGCGTTAGCTAGGAATTTTTCTAAGAGGTACAAATCATAACCATATCTTCGATAATATATAATAAATATTATTTTTAAATGCATTAATAATATGTTATTAAAATATAGTTGATTATTCTCAATGACTTTATGATAATGCTATCCAGAATAATTTCAATTGTAATATCCTTCCACAAACATCAAAACCAGAAAAATATAAATATTAATTGTATTTATTTGATATGAAGTCACTTTTAAGTCTTTTGAACGTATAATCTAAAAAGAAATTTTTGAGAGGGTTCCAAACCCGAAAATGACCCCCGTGTAGCTACGCCACTGATTCTAATGATTAGATCCTGTTTTTAAAATCTCATTATTAGTTCGGCAAACTAGTGTTGTTAAACGGCAAGATTTGAGCCGATTTATAAAAACGACTAACTACAATGTTTTACTTAGAAATATATTATGCAAGCCTACAGATTTTTCTCACGTGAATAATGAATCGATTCACAAATTCGGGGTTTATATATGTTAACAGATTAAATATTCACAAAAAAAAAAATTAATATTCAAAAAAAAAAATTTATATGCAAAATTAAAATTAACAACAATATTCTCAGTATACATTCAAGTTCGTTAACAATAATTTTAATATTCGTCTCACATTTTAATATTCAAATCATAAAATAAAAAATTCTTTTTACTCAAAAAACTTCATAACTTTAACGGCTGACACAAAGGTTTGGACATCTATTAGCGAAACCTCGAGGCCTGGGTAATATTTTATCGGCTAAAATATTGAGTTAGCCGGTTTTAAAAACCGGCTCAAATCGAGCCGTTCAACACCAGGGATTTGGCATTAGTTTTTTAAAAGTTGTCATATAAGCTGCCTTTATTTCTTTTCTGCTGCTCATCTGACCCAATTATTCAACAATACCCATCTTTAAGCTTAAGAAGCCTCCGCCTGCATGGGATTAAGATAAGTTGAAAACTTGTTAACCATATCTTTGGTGCAACATGTGATTTGCATTTATTTGCTTGAATTATCGCTTTCCTTAATTCGAACTTGCAATCTGAAGCAAAGCTCTATTTAAAGTTTACAGGAATAACAGCTATGATTAGCTTGAAATCATTCCTAGTGTAAATTTGAGACTTCACCTAAAGAGAAATTGTAAAGATCTGTAGGTTTAGGATCTATATTTCTTTTCATTTTATCTATAATTTGTCTAAAACGGATTCTCATAAGTAATGAGAATATCATAATCCAAATATACTCTGCTAAATTAAAGCAAAAAGCCTTGATAAAACTTTACAAAAATTCATTCAGTAATTCTGGTTTGACTTCTATTAAATCAAGGGGTTAAATTTATTCTACCAGTGAGTATACCAAAAAAGATGCAAATAATAATATAAATAAGAGCATTTATTATAAATTATTTTTTGTGTGTAATATTAGTCAAGTTGAATGGCTTTTCCACTGCAAATTCAGCAAAATGTACTGTGTCTTTTTTTGCTAGCAATATTTTCCAGACTACACTATCCAAACGGAGATTTAAAAATTCAACTGTTAGATGAATATCATATTAATTTATTTTATCAATACCATTTTAAGCACTTTTGATCTTGAAGCTGTAAAATTTTTAAAATTATTGGCAGTAACACCTCATCAATAACACGAGAACCGCTCCAAATGAATGCTTTTATCTTAGGCAACAAATATTATATGCAAATCTAAGAACTTTGATAGATTATTTTGGTTTTATTTTGGAAGTTTTTTTTTTAATGTTTCATTTCTTCTCTTTTGAAATATTACAATGTTCTTTTTAATAAATTTTATATGTGCTTTTAATATATTTTGAAAAAATGAAATATTTGAATCTTGAAAAAAAAATAAAATCGACTACAGTATTTTCTATTGAAAGTAACTAGGGACATTATTTTTGTAGAAAAAAATTAATACAAAGCGTTTCTTAGGTAACGACGTCATTTTTTTGTCAGTAATAAAAAGAATTTTAAAAATATAGATATGTAAGTTGTTTCCCTTCCAGTACATTGTAGATTTATAAAAATCTAAAAACAAAAATATATAATTTTCTTAAGGTATTTTGCTTATTCGCTGCCAAGCAAAAGGACACAATACATTCCAAAATAACTGACGTTCACGATCGCGTTTATTCGATACCTTATCACCTTATGGATTCCACGAAATTATAATTATTATAACGACTATTATTATTTCTCAAATATTGTATGGATAATAAATCGTTAAATTTATCATTATAAACTATCATTTTATTTTTCGGTATAATAATTGCTAATAAATATTAGTCAAAAGTTTTTAATATTATTTTAATCATAATGAAAATTTTATAAATTTACTGTTCCAAACAGTCTATACCTAGCAATAAATTAATCTACCTTTTTCCCGATTTTGCTCAATAATATATTTTTCAAATAGTAAACGTAAAATTTAAATTATATAATTTTTAACTTAGCATCTAATATGAAATATTTTAAAATAGATTATATTGAACGAGAATAAATACTATAGAATAAATTGTGTGTGATTGTATTGTATAATTAAGGAGGAATATTGAACAAGAATAAATACTATAGAATAAATTGTGTGTGATTGTATTGCATAATTAAGGAGGAATGATATGATAGTCTTTATTGATTATATAATTAGAATATTGGCTTTGATGTGGTCTTTTTATTTGATAATATAGTTATACAAAAGAAAACAAGTGGTCTTTATTTAATAATATAGTTATACAAAAGAAAACAAGTGGTATTAGAAAATGAAAACATATATCAATATATATGTTTAATCGCCTTGAGATGTATTTATATACATGTTAATTTCATTGAATAAAAAGATAATATGAACATATTTAAATATAGAATTACAACAAATTTAATAAGCAAAATATTTAAGAAGTATTTAAATATACAATGAATTACAACAAATTAAGCGAACATGCAACAGGTTATATGGCGATACCACACTTTTTGCATGCCATTCATACATTTTTTTACAATGACTATCGATACCGATTTTTGATATAATTATAATGAATTTTTCATTTTCTGGCACTCCATTCTAAAGGCTTCTTACCATATTTCAAGAAATAAATTACCTGCAAAGTTTTTATTTAATTTTTTTTAAATATACTATAGGATACGATAAATTTGATTATAGCTGAAGCAAGAGAGGATTGAAGATAATCTGGAATTATAATTGTCTAGACTAAAAATATCATTTATACAATTATCAATTTCATCCCGACTATCTTCCTCTATGATTTTCATTATCTTGTTTCTCACTGTAAATTGAATATGTTTATCTTGATTCTCCAATAACAATTCTTTAATGCTAAATTGATATTTTTGTTAATATATTTACATTCCCTATTGGATAAATTAATTTATATTTAAAAGTAATATACAGTTGTAAAAATTGCTATTATTTTGTTCAATGAAAAATGACACACTTTACATAAATTATTATAGTTGAAGAGTTATATTTTTTAAAAATTTTATAGATGAGGGATTTACATAAAATATAAAATTTGTTTGGGTTTTGCTTTTGTTTTAATTTTTTATGGTAAAAATGCATATAACTAATCGAATTTTTATTTCAGATTTCAGCTTAATATTTAGTAATTTATTTTCCTTTATAATTAAAATCCGTAAATTCTATCTGATATTATAAAAAATGTGAAAAGCTTAGTATAAAGGCAAAAATGATTATAAAATAACAAAATAAGTTGTAATTTTCACAATTTTTGGAAAAAAATATATAGTAAATCACAATTATATAAATTCATTAATATTTGCTGTCTTTTATAGATTGAGATCCTAGTTTTCGCCATCAACGTTATAATTTGGAGAAAAATAGCCTAAATCTATCTTATGCATAGGATGTTCAATCAGGGGGTTTCGGTCATTGAGAGTATAAAGCTGAGATAATTGCATTTTAATATATTTAGGGCTAAACTTTGATGTATGTAGAATCCCTCATTGGGATCCTCGGTCCTAGCAGAGATCCGTTTTACCAGCTCCTTAAAGATCAGAGCATGAGAGCTGAGCGATGCTAGAGTTGTGGCCAATAGTGGTAGGAATGTATAGTTGGCAGGTAGCGATGGTGAATATTAAGTATCTTGCAATATATAGATATGGTCGTTGTCCATCAATATTATCGTATTATAATAGGCTTATGTAGTAATTTTTACGGTAATATATTTTGTACCATTTCATCTAAAAAATTTAATAGATCCCAATAAATTTATCCTGCCTCCTTAAAGGCGCCTACATCCTTCAAGAAAAATTGGCAAACTGTTTTTATTCTCACCCCCGCTCATGTTTTTAAGATTCGCTTACCATAAGAATAAATAGAAAGATAATCACCCCCTTATAACTTATAGAAGTTTAACGTTTTAAAAAAAATTTCAAAACTATCATTTAAAACAAAAAATTTAAGTATAAATTTTGAAGAGATTTATATTAAATACTGATTCATAGCGAAATTTAGCATGTCTATATCTAATCATTTACGCATAGTCATTTTAAAGTAATTTTTTAAATGAAAAAAAATAAATTATTGTAACATTTTTATCACATCGTGTTTCACAAAAATAACCACGTAAACAAGAACTTTAATTTTTTGCTAATTATTTGACATTCTTAATTATAAATTTGAAATTATGGTCATCGATCCCGTAGAAAAAGTTCAAAAGACAGAGCTAGTGGGCAAAACTATTATAAAAGCCCAGTTAGGAGATGAAATTAAACGCTTATCAATTCATAATGATGATTTAACATATGACGAACTTGTTTTAATGATGCAGAGAGTATTTAAAGATAATATCGCTAAAGATGATGATATTAGGCTTAAATATAGCGATGAAGGTTTGATATTGCTTAAATTAGATATATATATCTTGATTTATTTTATGCAGATGGAGACCTTATCACACTTTCTGACAATGCTGAGCTTAACACAGCTCTTGAAGCTGGGTCTATTCTAAAATTATCTATCAACAGTAAAAAAAAATATTGAAAATTTAAAACATATTAATTTTAGTTTCTGGTAAAGAATTTAAATTAGAAACTTCTGAGGTCAAAAAAATTCGAAAAGAGTTGAAAACAATTAGAGACAGAATAAATTATTTGTTGGATTGCCTTGAGCTTAAGTGCCTTGACAAAATTGGAGATGGGGAAGACAGTTTGGATGAAAAGTCATCTAAACATATTCACAATAATTTAAATGCCATGAAAATTCATTCTTCTTCAACAAGTAATTTTACCTATAAATATGATGATATAGTTCATTTGATTTATGAATAAAAAAAATAGATAAATCTGTATTTAATCCATCAGTACCCATGATGAATAGTTCTCCAGCTTTGATTTCAGGAGGTAACAAAAAAAGTGATATAAATCTTCATTCAACTTTTGATCCATTCCTACAACAAAAAGAGAGGGAAGAAATTGAGGGCAAAACAGAAGAGAATGACAATGTAAATTTTGCTACATCGAGAGCTCCCCCATCTGGGTCCTCTATCACAAACAATATGAATAGTATGTTGAGACCATCTAATCATCCAAATATAATTTCTAACCCTAATGCACCTCCTTCATCAACTACATTTGATCAACATAACATGAGCTCATATAATGGAGATGGTAAAAGACCAAATTACACAAGTCATTAATTTTAAATAAAGATATTTTATATCTAATTGCCATTTTTTCTTGTCATTTTAGACATCTTTTAATTCCATTTCCTTATTTTACATTGGGGTTGGAACGATATTCCATCTTTTTGTAATAATATTAAAAAATATTATCTCAGTTAAATGATCATGGATTAAAAAATGATTATTATTTTCTAAAATATAATATAACCTTACTATCAACTCTAAGAATATTTGTTTGATTTGATCAATTAAAATATTAATTTTCTCAAGGCATTACAAATAAATTTTAACTTATATAATGTCATAATAGAATTTAATTCAAGACAAATATATTTTGCACATTAGGACAATTTTTCACATAATCATTTCAAAGAGTCATGTACTTCCACCCCTTCCCCAATCCAATCACAATAATACTCCCTACTTTGATCTGACATATGCCCTGCTCTGGGTTGTGCAGTACTGCTAAATGAAAATTCTGTCCTGCAAAAAATAATAAGGCTAAATGTCCCTTCCCGCTTAAAATTACAAATCTTAAAATTCTATGAATTACCTAGTGTAGTTAAATGGCTTGTTTTGAGCCGATTTTCAAAAACGACTAACTCAATATTTTAGCCAGAAAAATATTGCCTAAATCTCGAGATTTTGCTAATTGATGTCTAGACCTTTGTGCCATCTATGAGAAAAATCTTCAGGCTTGCTTAATATTATTCTAGATAAAATACTGAGTTTTGCTGTTTTTAAAAATCTACTCAAATTGAGCTGTTTAACAACACTAGAAATACTTAATTTGTTTATCAAATTTAACAAAGTTGTTAAAGAATCTAGATACAAGTATCTAGATATAAAAATGTGGTATCTGTATCTAGATAGATTTTTGATTAAAATATCGGTATCAAGATATTATTTTAGACGATGTATCTGTATCTAGATCCATTTAAAAAGTATCTTTTAACAACTCTGGAATTTAATATTGGATATAAGTGATTTAAATGCTAACCTCTCTTAGTTCAAATAAATTAATATTAAAAAAGCATCTAATATATTTCATTCACATTTTATTAAATATCTATTATTTTTTTAAAAATGTTTAAGAGTGTGAATAGGAAACTCCGCCTAACCTGTTATTATTTCAATATATAATAAGGCAACATGCCCAATTTGTTCCTGCAAATTTTTTGTAAAGTTTGTAGGGCAGATATAAATTGGCAGATTAGGCAAAAAAAAACATTTATCTTGTTGAAAAGATATTAATATATTCACAAAATATTCAACAGATAATTAATAAATCTGAGAGAAAAGATGAAAAATTATAGGCACAAGTCACACTGGCAGATTGTAATTTGACCCTTTACAAATCAATATTTCTAGACTAAAATTGCTACAATCATTGTAAATATGCTAAAAGTACTTCAATTTCAAAAAATGTTTGCCTTTATAGTGCATAATGCTCTGTTTTAATTGCTAATAATTGGATGTTAGAGTGCAAAATGGATTTTTGTATGCCACGTTAATTAAAAGATAAAACTGGTTTGATTTTTATGCTTTATTAATTTTGTGCTAAAATTTGAAAATGTATACAAAATTGTAAGTTGTACACAAATTGATTGTTGCGTTTGCAGCATGTATTTTAACATGATATATATTTCTTTCAATTGAAAGCATTAACTTTTTTCCTTGAAAATTGAGACATGATTTAAATATTTATAATTTTATTAAACAATTTTGTAGATAAGCAATTATTAGCCTGATATTTATTTGGAAAACGTACAAACAATTATACCAAGAAGAGAGGGAAAACTTCTAAAATATTCATTCATTGAAATTTGTTCTCATTGCACTAAAAGGAGATCTAACTGCATCTCAATTTTTTACGAGGATGAGGAGAACAACTTTTTCCTATATTCTGAAGAACCTTATCCATGATAATAATCCTTTATTGTAATTAGTTACTCCTAACAATTCAACAGAAAATCATTGCTTGCAACAAAAATGTAGTGAGCCAGTATTTATGGGACATTTTGCATATATGTGTTTTCCATCCAAGGCCCCAAAACAATTTGGATACTCTGAATCATGAACTCTTGGGAAATCTAAATAAACCAAATATTTAATATGTTATAATTATAATTAATCCTTCCCATTCCATTTTTTTGTAGGTTTGGGCATGTGCTTCTCTGCAGCAGCATTCCATATAGCCCTGCACACTGATTTCACTATATTGGCTATGCAGGATTTGGATATCCTTTCATTAAATGCCAACTGTGACTCCTGTTACCTTTATATATATATAATTTTATCTTAAATTACCATATTTGACCTTAAGGTCAGAAATAATCTATCTTCTGCATCAATCTGCTTGTTGGAGTTTGTCACTTTAAGATTAATATCATCATGGATGAGGTTCAGAATATAGGAAAAAGTTGTTCATTTTATCCTTTTTTTTTCTTTTTAGCATTCACCTTTTGCTGGTTGCTCCATCAATATCTCTCTCCACTTTATGTTATTCATGCTATCTCTTTTATTTAATTTATATTTCTAAGTTTTATCAAAATCTGAGATGGGAAGGTGATTTGATATGGAATGACACGATATTTTTTTAAAATTTATTGAGGCTAATTAATTTTTGACAATTTAAAATTAATAGTATTCGTCGATACAGTAACTAGTATTTCGATACATCTCTGCCTTGCACATTATGTACTTTGAAAAAAATTGTTCAATAATTATCATGTCTTTGGTGTAACTTTCCCTTAATTACCCTTTATTTCTCATATTTTTAATAATATTATAAATAATTAATTTACGCAGTGATGAATGGTGAAGATCATGGATCCAGGAACATTCTTCCCCCATCTTCGGAAAATAATCCGTTAAATATAAATCAGCCACAGCAGGCTCCTTATTACCCCTACAACAAAACCGCGCCACCCCAAATTCTACCAACTATACAACACGTTCGATTACCCCCACATTTTCACCCTCCTCACCCACAGGTTTTAAATATACTCATTTTCTATACACGCCTTAAAGATATTATACAAGTAATCTATTAAAGAAATGAAATTATAGATTTGTTTAGAACAAGATTGTAAATGCTATATATTTTATAAATTGACTTATTATATATTAAGAACACGCAGACTTCCCAACCTCTACCTTCTCAACCTCCCCAGGTTCAAACAGGTTATCCGCATCCTCCAGGTCCGCCACAATTTAAAGGCGGACCGACTCCCCCTATTTCGTCTTCTACCCCTTTCTATAACCCTCAAGCCAGCGGCGTAAGACAAAACTATCCCAACATCATGAACCCCATGCCTAACAGTTATAACCCTAATTCGAGCTTCAACGCCAGTTACAATCCAAATCCGAATATTCCCGGGCCTAATATGGTTAGTTCTAATAGTAACCTTCAACCCGGAACTGGAGTTGTCTTGGGAACAAATATGCAGCCTTTTGGAGGGGTTAGTGTTTATGTTTTCGTTTGTCTTTATTTGATTCTTTGTATTATGTCAAATCGGCCCCTTGAAATCTGGGTGAAATTTTGTATACAAACTAAGGTACACTTGAATAAAGCAGTTTTCTAGTTTTACCTAACTCTTATATTATATTTTGGAGATATCAAAGATTAAAGTATGTAATGGCCTGTTTTTACGTTTATCGATTGTTAATTGAAGATCTACCAAAAACTACTGAATTATAATTAATGGTTCTAATATTAAAATAATATACAATTTATTTATTTAAACCCATTTTAAAGTTTAAAATCTTTGTAAAAAAAATTAATGAGTTTCCTCGATTTATATAAAATTTTGAGCAAATCAAAATGTCACTATAAGACCAATCTGTATCTATAAAACACGAATTTTACTTCCATGGGGAAAAGATAAAAAAAAATCTACAACATATATAGCCAATGTTCCTTCACATGTAGAACCGTGAGATACCTCAGTTATCAATAATTCACAGCCTTGTGAACATACCTTAATTCTCTGGGTTATAGGTAAGAACGATTTTACGTGTAAAAGATATATTTGCTCCTTCTAACAAAAATTATGATTCATGAAGTCTTGCCGAGATGTGAAAACCACAAAAATATTCACATTATTCATACCAATCTTGGTATTAACAAACTGTTCCAGAAAACAGGCTAAATTCCTAATCAAATCAATCAGCCAAAAGAGCCATAAAACAAACGATCTCGATGGTCCTTTTTATTAAATAACAAATCAGCTTCGAAATTTTACGTTATAATTTTAAATCACTCAAAGATTCCTGCATTAACCAGACAAAGATGACCCCCCCCCCCCCCCTTTAACTTGTCTTTTTTTAAAATGATTCTTTATACATAGTTTACAAGTTATTTTTAATTACATTAAAATAAAGAATGGGATTTAATAAAATAGAAAGAATGAAATGCAAGTTGGCTTTTATTTATAGAAACTTCCAATCATTATAAAAGGGCATAGAGCTATTAAAATGCCTTTGTCTATAAAAACTTTGCAAGCAATTCTTACGATCTTATTACAAAATTTAGCCAAGTTTAGTTTATTTAATATCGTGGGGATGAATTTTATATTCAATTCCCTATTGCCGTATTTTTGTGATCGATGGCATGGAATAATCCACCTTAATACTCTTCCCTATAAATTTGAAAGCATTTTCATTATTTATATTTTTTTAAATAATAATATAAATCTATTATATTTAAATACACGAAATGCATCGATCAATAGATGGGCCCACCCCAAGCTGGCAACTTTCAATTCCAGCCACCCCAGTCTCATCATCAGCCGCAAAGTTCTTTAGGAATCAACCCTTCTGGTTCGTCTATAGGCGCACCTCCCCCAAACCCTCAACAACAGAAGATGGACTTTGGTCCACCGCCTCAGGCCCCAACCTACTACTCTCAAGGACCGCATCCAGGGTACCAGCAACAGCCTACTTTTTAGAAGAAAAAAAAGGAAAATCAACATAATTCTGAAGATTAACCTTTTTTTAAAAAAATTTAGCATTATTTTTAAATAACAATTTTATTGTATGTCTACGAGAATTAAATGATTTCTTTATTATTATATGATATTCACTTATTAACATGATCCTACTAATTAATCAAACCTTTTACTAAAAAAAAACGAATTTATATAATGATATCTATCTATATAATATAAAGCTGCTAATTTTAAATAGTTTAAAAACATCTTATAAACAAAACCATTTTTATCTTTATATTACAATAATGTAAATTTATTTCAAAAATTTGACGGCTAAATTTAAATAATTTCTATTTTTTTTATAATGCATTTTTTAAGATAGTTATTATTTATTTACCATGATGGCGATAATCATTAGATTGATTAAATGTGTTTTAAAAAACCCACATTGACTTTAAAATATTTGATTTTTTATAATCACATTTAAGTTATATTTTATTATTATATATATTTTTTTTAAATTGCACATTTAATTAATTGTTTTTTTTTTAAATATATGATCACCTTTTGAATTAAAGAGTGGTAGCATATGTTAATAATTTTTACTATAACCAATAAAAAACTATATATCTAAATTTGATTCACTGGCAAATAGTCGGAAATTCCGCTAAAAACGGTTAATCTGAGGATCATCCCCTCACCCTAGTTTAGAGTTAATCCGCATCTTAGTGTTGGTGGGGTTTGTTTCAGGACCTGCCTGTAGATTGAGTCAAAATAGCCGAATACCCCCCTAACTATTCTAGCAATAAATATTTTTCTGACATAAGATTTTAAAATTAAATGATTGAACATGTGGTAAATTTTGGCGGTTGCAAACATTATATATGATATTTTCCAAAAAGATCAAAACTATCCGAGTTCCTAATATGTGCAGAATTATTTCTAAAATAATTTAAATCAGCCAAGAAAGCTTTGTTGGGGTTTAATTGCATTCCTTAGATTTTGTAAACGTTATTACATAAAACACCTGATATTTTTATTTGTATTTTTCGATGGCCCCATTTGCCGATAAATTCTATTACTGCCACCAAGCTTTATGCGTTATTTAATGGCTTTTAAAATATTAAAAAAATTTTAAGGGAAGAAATGCACATTATAGACGTTTTATAATGTTATTTGAATAGTAATGTAAAATAACCTTTGACTAACTCCATTATGGCGTTGTCAAGATCATCCCTTAAAAAAATTGATTTAAACGTCTACGTTTAGCCTCTACTTGAGACTATTTTTGCCGTTTTAGAGATATGAATTAATAGAAATAAATTAAAAGATACATTTTTTTTGTAGCGATTTTGCTTTAGGTTAACATATTATGTGTTAGATATCTGCAAGACCTGACCTGTCAAGAGTTTTGGCGCAAGTTTCCCGACCCATTAAATTTATCTAAAAGTCCGCCCAGACCTGCTAAAAAGAAAATTTGCTATTTACCATTACATTTTTAATTTTTATCTTATTTTTTTCCCAATTTCAGTTAAAGCTCCTTATATCTGCTTTACAACTATCTATTTCTTTCAATAACAAGCGTTTTAGTAATCAGTTGCCTTTTATTTCTAACCTAGTTAAAGAATAAGCGGTCATGACCAACAATAATTGCAAATTTATTATGAATATTTTTAACAAGACAAAATAAATTTGATATGAGCTCAAATAAAATGTAATCAAAATATCTTGATTATAATGATAATTATCACTAGGTGTACGGGTCTAGGTTTTGAGGGATCAGGAATATTTTATCAACACAAAATATCGATATGAGTATCCAATAGAAGCTATTTAAAATATATTTTGTGAAGTAACAGTATTCACTAAAAGGTTCAAAAACTAAAAAATATGCTTATTTTGTTGATATGATGACATCATTGTAAATTGTTACTTTTTATTTTTATATAATAAGCAAAGTTAATATAATAGAGGCATGCGAGATATGGTTTTATTTATTTATTTCTTTTGTCGTAATATTTTAACCATAGGTTATTTATTTTGAAAATAAGATATAATAAAGAAATAATTTGGTATAAAATAAAATCCTTAATTTTAATAATAAAATCACTACTAAATTATATTTAAATGCAGTAGGATTTGAATTTTTGGAAGAATTATTTATTGGGGTGGGGCTGGCAATATTTTTCCGGCACATTCCCCGAACCCGATTCTATATTCCTCGTTGTGACAATGGCCTCGCAATATGATTTCGTCACCGTCCTGCAGAAAACACCTACTGTCGGCGCCATCTTTGGTTTTGAGGTCTATGGGACGAGTGCCGTTCCAGCTTAACTCCACCAATGAACCGAATTCCTTAGGATCCTGTTATGTTACAAATTGAGATTAGGTAAATCCATTCCTGATTCGAGAAAAATGCCGTTATCACTCAGAAAACGATGCCGATACATAGTAAAACTAAGTAGATACTCTAAAGCAGGGATGATTCATAAAAAAATTGTTTGATTGGGCATTTTGAAACCACAGAACAAAGAGACCGATTTAAGGGCAACTCTTTGACCCCGGGGTAATATGGACCTGAGGCGAGTTCGGACCATCTTAGGAAAATCGGTTTCGATTAAGTTACTGTTATCAAAATTTCCGCTAAATGGAATTTAAAATTCTTGGGGCCTGGGTTAGGGTTAGCATCCCTGATCTAAAGTGTCTGATCGATACTTTTTTAGGTATAATAAATATTTTTGGGAGTTGGAAAGTACATCTGTATTCTAATAATATTTAAGTGTTTTTTTCTAAAAAAACTAATTTGGAGGATTAATCTACCCACCTATCTTGTACTTAATTTTTTTACTTTGTCACTTGAAGATATGAATACTTGAAGGGGTTAAACATTTTTGCCGTAAAGGGTAAATTTATATATATAACTGGCTTAGCTTAGTTTATTTTTCGAAATTTTCCTTTATTTAAAAAAAAAAATAGGCGTAAAAAAATACATTTCCGCTAATGGTCCCGGTTCCCATAAGATCCCCGGCTCTCAAATTACATCCGTTGCTGGCATGATGCGTTAACATCTGTTTGATGTTCCAATATAAATGCTATAGCATAAAAAAAATATAATAATTTTACTGTTTAATATATTATAATATTTCATTGTTTTTTTAGTATTGTTGAACTTTTTAAGTATAACGATTCATTTCCATTCCAGTTCATGTTTATAAAATTCAAGATTAATCTGTTCCGGTTATACTTGAAGGAAATTATATCGGTTAGTTCCGGCCCGGAAATTCAAAGGGTTCTTGGCGACTAATTCCAGTATTTAGAGAAGAGAAGAGAAGAGAAGAGAAGAGAAGAGAAGAGAAGAGAAGAGAAGAGAAGAGAAGAGAAGAAGAAGAGAAGAGAGAAGATAGGTTTCGAATTCTTAAAAAAAACCAAGAAAAACAAAACTTAAAGATGATAACATGTGAATAATATTATTTTATAAATTTAAAGAAAAACTTTAAAAAAAAGAAATGACCCGGTATTACATTTAGTAAATAAGTGAGGGTGAAAAATCATCTATTAAAGCTTGCAGTGAAATTTGTGATGGCAAAGCTAAAGTATCATTAAAGGATAACATAATTACAATCAGAAACCTGCAGGACCGGCCCGGCCCTAAGCCCGGGTATACGGGTAGCGCCGTATTTTAATTTTTTTTTAAATATACCCGGACCGGGCCTGAAATTTTTTTTAAAAAAATATCCTGGTCGGGCCTCGCAAACGGTACCTCAGCAGGTCTCTGTTTACAATAATAAATTTCCGCTAAGTGTAAATAATCTAATGATTTTTGAGTATAATCTATTTTACATATCCTAGCGTAGATACAGTGATGTTAGTAAATACGTATTTTTTTAAAAAATAATTATAAGAATTATCTAACTCACCTAATATATTCGCAAATGATCATAATAAATTGACTGATTTTTAAGGTATTTGCAATTCCCTAGCGCCGTAGTACTATAACAATTTAAATCCTTTCTGATAATATTCGCCTGGTCTATTATCACAATAAAATATAGTAATAAACTAAAGAATGAACATAGCACTGAAGACGATAACTTTAAAAGTTTAGAATAATACTATGATTTTCATAAACAAACGCTTTAACACCCCACCCAACCCCTCTCTTTGATTCTAGATAAATAGAATAAGTATTTTTTTTTTAACCCTACCATAACTTTCAGCCTTTTGTTATAATATATCTAGTTTATGTCAAATTGTGAAATCAAAAATCATTTTTTTAAAATAAATGCATATAAATCTAACCATAATGGGGTATTTTTTTTTTTTTAGATATTTTGGAAATAATAATAAAAAAAATTTTTTAAAAAAAAGTGATTATGATTATTTTATAAGAATTATATGCACACTGGTAAAAAATTGAATAAACATTCTTATCATCTAAATTTCCTTTCCTTTTGTTCAATTGAGTAAATTTCATGAGTTTTTGGAACATAGGGACATGAAATTTATAATAAATAAAATATTTATTTTAGCAAAACACGGGATGTGTGAAGTGGACAGATTGTTTTTAAATCCGTTGACAATTATTTTACAATTATATGAATAGTGGTGGGAAAAAAAAATATATCCCAAATATTTTATTTTATTTATGGTTATATAATAAACAGTCATTCATTTACCTTTGACATGTTAGGAGTAGACAGCAGTTCCGGCTTCTCCATTTTGGGTGCTATATATCGAGATATTTCACGAAATAAAAATATTTTTTTATATATAGGGCCCATAATTAAGAAATATAAACTTTTCTTTTCTTGCTCGCTTTCTTTTGGCACTTTTTCTACAGTGTCGACTCAATATTTTAACCAAACAAAATATCGCCTCTAAGCCCTAGAAATTTTGTTGGTAGATGTTCAAAACCTTTGTGTTATCTATTAGCAGAATCTGTAGGCTTGCATGATATTTTTTTTCTGGATAAAATATCGTGTCAACCGTTTTTTTAACAACATTACCTCACTAACGAGAATTATAATTAGAAGGGGGAGGAGGGTTTATAAAAACTTTTGTATAGGATTTCCAGATCAACGTTAAAATTGAAAGCGTCGGCGTGTCTCAAGTACGGCATAGCTTCGGGATCCTATCGAGCGTTTAAATTAAAATATACATTCTTATTTTTTTTTTGTAAAATATAGTCAATATCAACTTGAAAAAAAAATGGAAGCTTTGGGCATTCCATGAGGTCTGGCTCGGGTATGGATTCATTCCATCATCTTTGAAACTCGATCGGAATGAGTTATTCTTAGGGTTTATTAGGGCGTGAAAAGAGAAAAATAACGTTTCACAACAAATTATAGAGAGGTTAAGAGGGGTTTTTTTTTAAAGGGAAAATAAAACATATGCCGGCTTAATTACGCAAAATTCTTTGGGGTGTAAAAAAAACCAAGCTAAGGGGGATTGATGTCGATCCAGTGAGCGAAGCATCGTGAATGAAAGCAAAAAATCCACAAAGACATTCTTGATATCCCTATATTAGGGAAGGAGACATCCGATTGTAAAAACCTTGCATGATTAAATCAGAGTGAAAACTGGCCAACCTGGGTAAGCCTGGAAATCGTTGTTAAACGGAGAAGAAGATTTACGTTAATTGATTTTATACGTAGAGTAGATAGAACAATTTCATTTTAGCCTACGTCCAAAAGTAAGCAATAAATGTGTTTTTTTTCGTTGGATAGCCGCTTTACATTAACGTAGAGTTCAAAAAAAACCATGAAAATTTTAATTTGGGATACCATCTTGAAAAATATCTCTTTAAAAAAAAGAAAATATTGAGTAGAATTAGAATTACAGATTATAAAGTCCTTTAGGTCCGAGTTGACTCCAAATTACATTAATAATTTTCCAGTCGGCTTGATTTTGTTTTAAAACAGATAATTAACTATGGAAATTTATGTGGGTTTTTCCCTCATAAAAAATTAGCGAGCCAAATACATTTTTTAGGGACTAGCCGAAAAAATCGCCAATTAAAATTTTAGCCGGTCTAGAGCGACATCTATCCGGAATTCCCATTTAGTTCGGATTCTAAACTCTGCCGATAAATGAACAACAACCATCATTGATTGGGAAAGAGATGGATGGGGGGTGGGGCTCTTAGTATATTGTCTCTAAAGATATTACCTAGAGAAGCGACCAAAGACGTGCTGGATGAAGGTGCTAGTTATGACATAAAAAAGTTAGGTTTGACACTGGGAGATGCCAATAACCGCCTAAAATAGAGAAAGTCTAGAAGGGAAAATGTCCCTACCCAGGGTAAACCTGAATAGGAACAATAAACGACGAAGATATGTAAGGTTTTTTTTTTAATTTATAAAGGAGAGAAAGAAAAAATAAAGGAAATAAATAAATAAGGAAACCTGCACAACGTTGGGCACTATGAAGGGCCTCAAGGCGTCTATAGTGATGATCCAAGGAGAAATGGATGTGCCGAAAGATTTTCCCAGGAATGGGCCCAGTGGAAAATATTCCCACTTTTGGATGTCCCTGGCTATTATATGATTAAAAAAACATAGGAGTAAGGCAAAGCTTCGTCAGAGCTAACCTCTGAGGTAGCCTGAAATTTAGTTATTTCCGGCAAGCCATTAACAGGCGATAGCGTATTTAGGGGTGGGGTTGGGAGAGGGGTTGAAGTGTCAAGCAGGCATTTGACCCTCACCCCCCCCCCTCTGAAATGTATATTTTTATACATAAATGGAATTAAATTAACAATGTTAACTAAACCATTAGAACTTAAAATTAATTGTTTAAAAAAAACAGAGAAAAAAAACGAAATAAGAAGTTTTATTTTATCTTTTTTCCCTTATTATACATAATTTCGAATTTTTCTAAAATCGTTAGGATAAAAAAAAATATTCCTTAAAATCTGTCATCTCAAAATTATGATTGACATTTTTACATCCCCTTTCACCTCTGAAGTAAAATCCTAGATACGCCCCCCCCCTCCTGATATCGCGTATATTTTAACAATTTTTAATCAAATACCATCATTCAAATTATAACTAATCATTTCGAAATCATAACATTAGCGGTGAAATCATAAATAAAACTGAAATCAAATCAACTATGTCCGAAACATTACGAGATAGACACTGGCAAGAGTATTCAGTTAACAATAACGAGGAGTTATTTTGTAAAGAGTCTAATAATTAGGGATTTCTACCTACAAACAGAATAATTTAACATCACGTGATATAGGGATTCTGGCCAGAACCTTCAAATTCAGTTAAAAAAATAAATGAGTTATATTTGGAAAATGGTATCTTACCACCAGAGTTGATAAAAGATACTTTTTAAATGGATCTAGATACAGATACAACGTCTAAAATAATATCTAGATACAGATTATTTAATCAAAAATCTATCTAGATACAGATACCACATTTTTATATCTAGATACAGTACCACGTTTTTATATCTAGATACTTGTATCTAGATCCTTTAACAACTCTGCTTACCACTAATTAATTGCAATGTAGATATAAAAAAAAAAAAGCAAAAAAAGTGCTTCTCCAACCAAATTAATCGCCATTTTTTTTAGGTCTCTCTTCTTTTAGTGTTTAATTAATTAAACAGATGATACAAAAATAAATTCAAATTTCGGAAGAAGAAAAAAAAATTATACCACTCCAATCATTCATGAGCACGAGTCCGAATATCCGTTTATGGGCTTCGGATATGGGAATCGGTTTTCCTAGAGGATTCTCGGGCCCCCCGACAAATAAGGCCATCTCCAATTCGATATCCAGTTTGGAGCTGGGGCCGAAGATCGGGGGTTTATCTGTCAATCAAAACGTATCATTTTATAATTTATTTGTCACTCACTCTATTTTTCTATTTCTCATCGTCTTTCCATTCCTCTTTTTTTTTCTTCAATTTTTTAAATATAGTTTTAATTTTCCTATTTGAACTTTAAAAAAAAAAAATTCTATAAGTATAAAATATTATATTTTTAAAAAAAAAAAAAGAAGAAACCATTAGCAGGTTGAGTCTGACCATTGGGTCGGGTAACGGGTGTGGAGCTAACGATAACCGAGGAAGCTCGCCCGTGATAACCCACCGGTAAATGTAGCCTTATTATTTATAAGATTCGGAGTTAAATTAAGGTAAATTATGTATCGAAAGATGATAAATATTTTAAATTGGCGAAAGACAAAATCATAATGACTTTCCAAATTTAAGTAGTATTTTGGTTCTAATTCCTAGCTATTGCCTGCTTCGTCGGCTAGCAGTGGAAGAGCGTTTTCAGCTGCTGGTAGGGCCTTTGGAGAGAAAAGGACCAGTTTAAAACCAGATAAACTGGACTCCTTTTAATGATATAGATGTCATTACTTTTTTTAGTCTCTTATTTAACTATAATATCATCTACTTTCGACATAAATCATGCAAACTGTTTTTTAAATGATCGCAATAATTTTTAAATTCAATTGTATTTTAACTTTTTTTTAATGATATTTTTCACAAATTTTATAAAATGCAACTCAATGTATATCTTGATTAGATTATTATGGCCGTCAAATAAACTAAACTTTTATTTAATGTGGCGATGATATAAATACAAATAAATTATTTTTTTTTTGGTTTTATTACAATATTCAAACTCAAATTTGTACAAATTAATTCGGGCTCGGGCTGCGAAAAATTTACTTCGCAGACCTCTGAGTCGCAGTTACCTGTACGCATAACAAGGGACAAGCTTAGCTACTTAAACATTTAGGGAAAGTAAGAAGATTACCTATATATTTATCTTATATATAGCATCATAATTAAGCTCTATTTTTTTTAAAACTTTTAAAATAATAGGTTGTTCGTCCATAGACCTATACAATTTCGCTCAGGATAAAAAGGTAAAACGCCCCAGAATTTTTTCTTCTTCTTTAATTGGTCATAGCCGCCTAACCAATGGGGAGGGGAACTCCCTACCCAACCCCCCAATGCAAATTTGCTAGTTTTCTAATCAATACGAAAGAATTTGAAAGTAAAATCATTTTAACGAGAAAATGGTGAGAACTCAAAAATTATTTATATAAATATCTAATATAGCCGAAAGCCTAGTGGACTTAAAGATCTCCAACAAAATATACGGGGAAAAAAAATTCACCTAATAGTGCTTCCCCCCCCCCACCCCCCTTAGTAAAATATTAAAAAGTTTTAGCATTTTTATCTGATTAAATCTTTCTAAGCAATTTATTTTTTTTGCCTGATCATTAAGAAATAATTCTGATTGAACCTTAAGTTACAGAATTTTTTTTGTTTCTGAGTGATTGAATCAGAGCCTGTCATCACATTTCAATAAATTAATCAATTCGAGTTATTTTAGTTGAATATAAAGGTTGTGCCGACATTGAATTTCGGATTGGATCAGGGACGATATTAATCGATTTTTTTTTAAAAAAATCGGATCAGGCCAATAGTTTTAAAGATCCGATTGGTTCGATTTATTTGTAGTTTTAAAGATCCGATTAATTCGATTTATTTGTTAGGTAATGTTTTTATTTTTTTTAAAAAAAATCCAATTATATTTATAAAAAAAAATGGTGTTTATTTGGCGACGATAAAAGTATTCAATGATTATACTTAAAGTGCCAATCAAATCAGCCATTAAACAAGCCCTATGTTTTAAATGAGATGGACTTTTACGACGTCATTCGCAACAGGATATCACTTTGATCACGAGACCCAATAAGTTTGTATGTGAAGAAGTTCAAATAGTACCTTAACCCAATCATGAACCGATACTTCGATACTTTTTACGGTTCGGATCCGTAGTGTAAATTGTTCTCAATATCCAGCAGGGTCCAACTTCACTCATCGAAATGATGATAAACTTAGCAGTAATAGAGCCCCCCCCCCCCCTTAAAAAATGAATTCTTACCGTTATCCCTCCCCCTGGTAATTTAGTAGAATCTCTTTGGAGTCCCTTGTATCTCCAAAAAAAAACTATTTTTAGACCCATCCCACACCACGTGGATGTTTGTTACATCACCGAAAAAAAAACAATATTTTAACGATGTTTTTTACATTTCCTTCCATACCACAATCTTTTATTTAATAATTAAATGGTTTTCTTATATTTCTTATTACAAAATATTACTGTAACATTTTACATTAGGTACATACAAAAAAAATAAAAAAATACCCCATATTATTATTTTCTCTTTTTAAAACTAACCATATGTTTTAATTTTATTATAAAATATTTTTGTTTCTCTTTTCCTATTTTTTTTTATCGAATCAGATATACAAACAAACACATATGCAAAATTACTTTTATAATAAGATAATATGGTATTTTGTGTAGGGGTGGGAGTGGGACCAATATCAATAAATAATAGATTTACAATACAAATCAATACCAATAAATAATTGATTTACAATACCAATCAATACCAATAAATAATTGATTTACAATACCAATCAATACCAATAAATAATATATTTACAATACCAATCAATACCAATACCAATATAAGAAATAGAAAATATTGTTAAAACCAATAGCAATATTTCGTTTATCTTGAGGTTTTCGATATTGGTTCCCAGCGCTATTTGGTATGACTATTACAGGAGATTTTTATAGTACGGTCCTTAGTAATAGGAGATTAGTATTTATTCTTAGTTATGTTGCCTTCCTTTAGGTTATTATATGGATTTAGAAATCACATATGCCGAGGGCGACCATGATCAGTATAGATATGGAACCGTTGGTCAGTGAATGGAGACTCTTGTCTAGGGAGCAGGATGGGCGTCAAACCCCGGAGCGCGGAGGCACGGGTAGTGCCACCGTCAATGTGGAAGACCTACGCCCAATGTGGTGGAGAGGGACTAGTTCGTAGAGACTCTCCACAGATGAATGTGCCCCGGAGGAGGGAGATCGAGGTTGGAGGGAAAAAAACATCGGAAATTCAACCAACGGCTCAACCGAGAAGGCAGGAAGTGTCGGGAGTTCAAGCTACTTCGTAACAATGGCAACCAGAAAAAACGCCCCTCATGACACTTAGGTTTTACGTGGTGGACCGGATAAAACGAAGTCTTAAAAACTTTTTTTTAAAAAAACTTAGCGGAACGATTCGGACCGGGTAACGGATACCCATTATGTATTAACAAAATTTTTTAATTATTAACAATATCATTTTTTTTCCAACTTTCCAAACTCTATAGGTTAATTCAAAATCTTGTCCTATTCCTTCCTCTCCCTCCCATATTTCTTTCATATTTATCTGGAGAGTCAATTTTCTCTTCTCACTATTCTTCGTAGGGTATATATAGCAGAGACCTGCAGGCCCGACCCTAAGTCCGGCCCGGCCTTTTTTTTAAATTTACCCGGGCCGGGTCGTATATTTTAAAACCGAATATTTGAAATCGTCATTATTAGCTGTAAAAATCAAAAATAAATAAAAATAATTTTAAAAAAATTCGGGCCTACAAATGGTACCTCTACAGGTTTCTGATATATAAGTCCCCTAAAGCTTACTTGAAAATTGTTATTCATTATGATTTTCAGATCTTCAATAGCTTCATCAAATTAATTTTGACAAACCCCACATTAGGTGAAATGATACCTATGCGGATAGGCTCTGAGCACCTGTCAATTCCGCCAGAATTTACAAGTTAGGGGTAGTTTGTAGCCAAGTGTAAATCGAACTTAAGTTTTAAAAGCAATTCAGAAAGGAGAAAGAAAGAAAGGATAATTTTAATTTCAAGATCATTGTAAAAAGCCAGGATATTTTCATTTTTAAAAATAGGTGAAGATCTCATGGCATATATCTTAGAAAAAGCTTTGAAGAGAGTCCTTAACTTATCAGTAAGAAAAAATGACTAAAAATTATCTAAGTTAATTTTTTGGGCAGTAGTGGAATGAATAATGAGTGAATTGGTTAAAAAGTTGTCCATGGCCCTTTTTTCCATTAATACGAATATTAACATTTCTAAATACTCTTTGAAGATTTATATCCTATATATTGTTTTTTGCTTTTAAATTATAAAAAACATCTTCTGAATTCTCCTGAAGAGTGTGATACAGGTTTTATATTTTATTTAAAATTTGAATCTTTTTAATAAGGGATTCCTAGCCATCATGTTTTTTTCAATAAACTAATTTTAGAAAATAATTTTCTCAATCACATTAAAGAGTTAAATGTGTAATCTATTTAAAAAATTTTCAATAGCCCATATTAATTCCAGTCTTTTTTTAAATTAATAAAAAACTTTTGCTAAATTATATTAAAGAGCTAAACAGGAATTCATATTTGTTTTTATATAATCTGTGCTTCTTTAATATGGGTTTCTTATTTTCGTCATGCCCTTTAATAATAAAAAACTTAAAAAAATATATATTGTATATATTAATTATTTATATCTTTATTTGGAAGACATTCTAATTTTTTAAAAGGTGTTTTGGTTTTTAGATTTTAGTTGATTCTTCTGGGTTTAATCCAATAATAATAAATTTATTTTCAGAGATTCAAATTATATAAGAAAATGTGTTTGCAAAAAAATTAATCTCATCTAAAATTTTAGAGATTTCTAATACATATCATATATAAATAATAATACCAATTAGGTGGAAGTTCATTATCCTTGCCTCGAAAGAGTTTTCCCATGTTATTTGCATGACCTCTCGAGCAGTAAAAATCGGTATAATCACCTATCCTTGCAGGAAGGTGCATTTGGCATTCTGAAATTTTGGTTAAGGCCTTTTCTTTTATAAAATTCTCTATTTCCATATCGGCAGGATTCGTCTTGGCAGACAATATATGCTGCAATAATTTTCTAGCTTCAGTCCAGGCTTCATGATTTAATTCCATGAATGAGTTTAAAACAGACTATATATATATTGATCAAATTTAATATATATTTTTTTAAAAAATAACTTGTTTGAATGCATCTTGTTTATCCTTGAGCAATGGTCCATTAAATAAATGACTTATTTTGGAAAGATCTAAAACAAAATCACCTATGGCAACTCCAATCCTATGTTTTGGCTAAAATTAATATATTAAAAAATGGTATATTATATAAAAATATACATCATCTTTCGTTGAAAATATGCCGTAAGGAAGATTTTCAATGGGGAAATCAGTATCTTTGGAATAATTAATAAATGACTTCATATTTTTCTGAAAAAAAATTTAAATTTTAAAACATGTGTTTTTTTTAAGGATAGCTGAATATAAATTATTAAATAATATTAATTAATATAAAAAATATTTTAATTATTTCTACAAGAAAATAAATTAACTTTTGCAATTATTGATATCTTCTCCGCTCCAATCCTCACATCACGAAAGTAACATGACTGGGATCTTCCCTTAATACGCCACTCCGTTGAATATTTAATATCGAGTGTTGCTTCTAAGGGATCCCCATCAATCCTTTCACATTTATTATCTCCCATTACAGTTGATGAATCCTTAACAGTTGATCATCTCGCTCTCCCACAACTGCAAGTTCCACAACTTTTGCCTTCCTTATCGGGCTATGAATGGTTAGAAGCTTTGCCCAGCTCAAACTTAGGACTTCTCTTAACAAAGGAAGAATTACGCATAGCAATAGGTCTCCGTCTTGGTTGTAATATACTGGCCAACTCCACATGTACATTATGTTCCCAACCCGTTGATTGTTTTGGACACCATCCTCTTCATTGTCGATTCTCTAAAGGTAGACATTCTCGACACAGTGAAGTTAATGGCACCATTATCCGTGCTCTACGCTCAGCTCAAATTCCAGCAACCCTCGAACCCTGTGGCCTCTCAACCGAGAATAATATACGTCCAGATGGGCTGACATTAATACCATGGAGTAATGGAATTCCATTAGCATGGGACTATACCTGCATCGACCGATTTGCTCCCTCCTTTAATAAGAATTCATTCATGCGAGCTGAAAACTCGAAAATTAATAAATACACTTCCCTAACAAATTGCAATCTCATACCAATCGTATCCGACACAACCGGGTCTTTTGGCAATCATGCCCTAACCTTCTTCAAAACCCTCGGTAAAAAAATCCACGCCATCACTGGTGATCCTCAGGAAGGCTTCTATCTCAGACAGCGCATATCTATTGATATATGCAGATCTAACTGCATTGCCATCCATGGCTCTCTTTCTTGACCTTCTCCCACCCAACATACAATTTACTATTCTTATTATTTTATTTTTTTTATTATACAGTTTTTATATAGATTTTATAGTTTACATGACATTTTTTTAATATATATATTTTTTTAAATTACGTATATATGTTTTACTTTTAACGTTCAATGTATTAAATATTTTTATTAATAAAAAAAAAAATTTAAAAAAAAAAATTTTTAAATATGATTTATAGACGCAAAACATAAAACAAATGGATAATATTATGAAAGGCATATTATAATATTACTAAATCCATAGAATAAAATTTAAAAAAATGAAAAGAAACACAATGTATGTTACATGAGGAAAAGGATAAAATAACAATAATTAATCTGCCGACATTTAATAGAACGAGTGAAAGGTGGTGGGGGGGGGGGTCATCATAGCTAACCTAATCATACTAGTTTTCCGTCATTATAATTTTAAATAAATAAAATTTGCTATATATGGGGCTAACTAACCTTATATTTGTAATTTATAATAAAAATTCCAATATTAGATTAATTTTAAATATTACATTACAATAGGCCTTATTAAACCAATTGGATTAATATTATAAATATTAAATTAAAACTTACCAATTAATAATACGAATATACTAACAATTGTGTTATTAAAATAATACAATATGATTATAATTTATTATTAATTTAAATGCTTGAAAAAAAATAAAAATGATTTATTTTTAATCTAAATGTTCGATAAAAAAATGTTATTATAGTTGATTTAAATACTTGATAAAAAAAATAAAAGTACCAAGCGTTTAAGACATTATTTAGACATTAAAATCATTATAGACAATTATCTTAAAAAACGAGATTGTTTGAATAAATATTCAGTGACTACCATTCCTACTATTATATTTAAACATATCTAAAATATTTAATTTAGGTTATTACCTATCAACTAAATTGTAATTTATAAAAACTCGAAAAAAATGTTAAACAATGTAGCTTCGGAAGAATTATAATGTAATGTTTAACTAAGTAATATATATAGAGTCATGTGGAGGCGTGCAGATATTTCATGTCTCTGAAAATGCGTAAAATAAAAAATTAAAAAAATTATTTTTATTATCAAAAAATCAAATATAATAGTTTAATAAAAACACACATTAATAAATCAATCGTCAGTTAAAACGGTTTTGCAAATTGGTTACTCCTAATTGATATTTCTTGAAATATTTTGAATATTATATAGCGAATTGTTTAAGTGATAAATATCGAATAAATTCGAAAGTTTTAAATTCCCTTTTATATCTACATAATTTTTCTAATTAAAATTTTAATCGATTCAATTATATTTATCACTTAAGCAATGCTTATCTAAAAAATCTAAGTAAATATACAAATTTTAAGTATATACATTAAAATCTTATTTGCCTAGAGATATAATTAGAAAAATGATTTCATATTTCATACTTAGTAAGTAATAATGATATTTTGCTGCAAATAATTTTATTTGTATCTTAATTAATTACATAATAATAAATATAATTCTATCTTTATAAATATTATTTTCGAATGTTAATTTTAATATTATAAAATGAAGTGAAATAAGTTAAAGTAAAAGTAAAAATATAAATCGCGAAAAGGTTATTTAAGATAAAATAAGAAAAATATTTTAATAGCTTTATTTTATATCATGGCCTATGTAAAATTATTGGTCATCTACTCAAAATCAATTATTAAATTTATCAAAGTAAATTTTTGTTTCTTAATAAGTCATTAGCAAATATTTCTTGTCAGATTTTTGATTCAAATTTTATCTCGTACTTGACAATTTAGGAATTTGAATAAACAAATTATTAGTAATAACTATAATGATAAAAAGTCAAATAAAATTTTTAGTGAACCATTTTTCGTCATTTCGTAGCGCATCATCCTTTCATGTGTTTACTCATTCTTCTCATGCCAATTCATCTGGATAAAAAAAATTATAAGTGAGGGTCAATATAAAATGATAAGAATCATCACCCAATTTTTGGGCAGGCTGTAGTTATCGGTGCGCACATAAAGACTAGCTTGATGCTTAAGCGCTTATCGGAGCATTGAAAAGACCGCGATAGGACTCAATACTTGCAATAATATTGTTGGTTCCAAAAGAGTAAATCGTTGGTTTGAATCCCCCCATTTTTCTCTAATTCTATTAACTTATATACAATCAGCTATTGGGATTAATTTTTGTCATGGCTAATTATCACCGCTATTTTTATAGGGTTTTTTTAAAAAATATTTATATTATATATTTTTATAAAGGTCAAATACATGCATATCCAGTACATCAATAAGATTTAGAATTTCTCTCTTTCTTTCTTTCTTTCTTTCTTTCTTTCTTTCTTTCTTTCTTTCTTTCTTTCTTTCTTTCTTCCTTCCTTCCTTCCTTCCTTCCTTCCTTCCTTCCTTCCTTCCTTCCTTCCTTCCTTCCTTCCTTCCTTCCTTCCTTCCTTCCTTCCTTCCTTCCTTCCTTCCTTCCTTCCTTCCTTCCTTCCTTCCTTCCTTCCTTCCTTCCTTCCTTCCTTCCTTCCTTCCTTCCTTCCTTCCTTCCTTCCTTCCTTCCTTCCTTCCTTCCTTCCTTCCTTCCTTCCTTCCTTCCTTCCTTCCTTCCTTCCTTCCTTCCTTCCTTCCTTCCTTCCTTCCTTCCTTCCTTCCTTCCTTCCTTCCTTCCTTCCTTCCTTCCTTCCTTCCTTCCTTCCTTCCTTCCTTCCTTCCTTCCTTCCTTCCTTCCTTCCTTCCTTCCTTCCTTCCTTCCTTCCTTTCTCAGCTCGATAAATCTCTGCAAGTTTTCGACGTCTAGGGAAAATTAAGCAGAGCTTCTAACTTATAAATTTTATAAATAGGTCTCGGCTGGGGCTTAATAATTTTTCTTGAAATATTGGGGTTAATCGGACCATTAAAAAAATGTAACGGTAGCTTCTTTTTATTATGAGATAAAATGATAACTAAAATTTATAAAAGAAATTATGTAACTTTCAATAAAAAGTTTAATTTATATTTTTAAAATTTTAAAAAAAAAACGGTATTTTATTTTAGCCCTGAGATCAAAAATAAACGCCGCAAAAAATTCAAGCCATATGACTAAACTACCGTTTTCCCTAATCGTAAAAATATTTGTGTTTGATCTACCATTGCCTATGGTTAGTGTTGTTAAAAGGCTCGATTTGCGACAATTTTTATAACCGACTAACTCAATTATTTATCCAGAATAATATTAATCAAGGCTGAAGATTTTGCTAATAGATGACACAACGGTAGGTTCAGGCCATATTTTTCCGGCTACAATGATGAGTTAGCCGTTTTTAAGAATCGGCTCAAATCGAGTCTTTTAATAAATACTACCTTTGGTAGATAACAAGCTGACAAACTGCTAAGACGCCTCATAGAAATTTATTCTAAACTTCAATTTGAGAAAATATTAATTAATATATATTTTTTTATCATAGTGAATTTTATCAAAGGAAATATCATCAAAGGGAAATTTATTTCAAATTCTAAATAATTTTTAACAAGCGTTCTATCGGTGGGGAAAATAGACATGAGAGATATATCCGGCTCGGACCTTCCCCAAATACGAAGTAAGTTGCGCTAAAAGACGAACCATTAAAAAAAAACTTTTTCTAAACCTGATAGGAATTATGCCATTTCTATTTAAGCTTTGAATAATGCCCAATTTATGATTTTTCCAATTATCACGTGACGGGCCAGGAAGCTCGTACAAAATATTTTACGGTACGGGTAAAAACCTGGTACTGACAGGCCAAAATATTTATTAGAAATTAATTAACGGGCTTATTTGGGTAGAAAGAAAGAAGGAAGGAAGGAAGGAAGGAAGGAAGGAAGGAAGGAAGGAAGGAAGGAAGGAAGGAAGGAAGGAAGGAAGGAAAGAAAGAAAGAAAGAAAGAAAGAAAGAAAGAAAGAAAGAAAGAAAGAAAGAAAGAAAGAAAGAAAGAAAGAAAGAAAGAAAGAAAGAAAGAA